TATATATATATATATTCATTTTTCTATTTGGTATCAATTTCAATATATATTCACCAAACCGTCTCTATATCTCACTTTGAAATTTTACGTAAAATGATTGAATGAAAACAAGAGATTCATCTATTAGAGTATGTGGTTCTGATACCATATTGAATCTTAAAGAGAATTCAAAAAATAGAAAAGAGATTTGGGAATGATTTCTGTGTTGATTAATATAAAATGATCCATACAAAACGTATATATTTATACTAACTCTAACCACATACTCCAATATCATCGTGAAGGATGAAGTTGTTGGAGATAATTGAGTCGGTGCCAAAGCAAATTGAAAACAGAAAATAATCTGAATTCAAATGAGAAAAAAGCCAAATCTAGTTTTGTCATCCACCACTTGGGTTTCTTTCTCTTTTCTCTCCATCATTTTTACTACAAAACCGTATGATTGTTTATTATGTTATAAACTCACCCAAAATACAGAAATCTATTAAAACAATATAGATTTTTTTAGTGATTTTATCATAAAAAAATTCTAATGTATAACTCTGTACAATATGTTAAACGTTGATTTTTTGTTTTTGATTTTTATAGTTTTTATAAAATATGACAATCCCAAAAAAAAACTTGATTTTTTCAATAAAATAGCTTTTCAGATTTTTAGAAAAAGTAAATAAACAAAATCTTGACCGAATTTTATTTCGATTTTTAAGCTTGGAAAATCCAATAAAACTCTAGCCATTCAATGCCGAAAATAATAAATAATAATGTGGAGAAGCATCGGTCTGTGGCACAAAGAGCATAACAAGTAAGGTATAAAACATATAAATAATAATAATAAACTAAACTTGTCGTACTAAGGTGTTGAAAGTCCCATCATGAATGATTGATGCAACCCTCCCCACACGCTTCCACTCCTTGTACGGAAAAAAAAAAACAAAACAAAAAGCTTCTGCGCGTGCGGCGGTGTGTGAATCAGACATCTCAACTTATTCACTTGCACTCCCTTAGCTGTACGGCTCCTCCTCCTTCGGGTCTTTCAAGTTTCTCGGATGCTTCCCTTCGCCAACCCCCGGAAGATTCCTAACCAATCTCTATCGGATGATATATAATAGAAACTGATCGGATATCATTTTTGTAAAATCGGATATCATTTTTGTAAAATCGAATCATTTGAGTTTTAATTGAATGTAAAAAAAATAGAGATTTCATTAGTTAAATCAAACTTATTTTGAAGCAAAACTGAATAAAATTCAAATCGATCTGTGAACGGATATAAAAACCGAATGAATTATTCAATATTAGGTGGCTCAAATAAAGTTCATTTTCTTTCAACCCAATTTGAGTTTCCATTTGAAAATAGTATTCACCTATATTTCTCCGACTATCTAAAAAATACAAATGGATCAAGGGTTCGGTGAACTTCTAAATTATAAAAAAAAAATCTGAATTAATGAGTTTGTTTTTAGAAAATAAAAATCAAATCCTCATGAAACCTAAATATCACACTTGTACGTTGGTTTGAACCGGTAAAACCGAAATGTCCGCGTCTAATCTTATCATGAATATTCCAAAACCTTTCACATAAATCGTGATTACATACCAAAATTATTTCGAAAATTCAGTTTATATATAGTTTTTTTTGTTGAAATGTGAATATATTAATGAAAAGAAAACATCAGTTACAAATACATCACGGTGCAAAACCGTATATCAAAATTGGAAACTTTCATAGTAGGAAATTGTATCTAAAGATATCATGGTGCTCTTGTTAAATGGAACCAAACTTGCAAGAGCAGTTTATATAGAGGTATTATATATACAAGTGAATACATATACGAAAAAGGTTTTTTCTTTCCGTCCGCACTATATATTATATGTCACATCTGTACGTTGCAAAACCTCAGGCGATCACCCGTCACACGAACCAAAAACATATTCGTAATTCTCACACCGAAATATCAAAACGTATGTAAATAATAGTAATAATTAATTAACCCCTTCTTATCACAAATGATCTATATCATATTGTGGACCCTACTCTCCCCAATATACGCCGCCGCAAGTGTACTTTCCGGAAACGCCACGGAGGTCAAAGTATCCTCCTCCGACAGCAGAAACTCGTTTACGATCCTCGTACTTGGTCTTGCCACAAGATTCTCCCAAGCTTCCTCTGCTTCATCCCCGTGTCTCAGGAACACTTCGGTTGCATCAATACGATGCATGCACCAGTTCCGCTTATTGTACAGCCTGTGAATCTTCTGAAGTTGCCGACAAGCTAAGATCTCTGTGTTCTGTTTGATGTTATTGACAGCTAGGGCAAGCATCTTCCTCTGTGTTCCACGATCTATTAGAGATTCTGAAACAAAGTATTCGTGAAGCTCGGGTACTCCAATGGCACGACGTATCCCGACAGAATAATCCGCTTTTGGGTCGAACATTTCTCTAACTTCATCGACCAGTCCTGTCTCCACCATCTTATCAACGCGTTTCGATACGAACGAGTTGAGTACTGGCAAAGAAACATCGACCCAGATGAAGCAGCATTGGTAGTTTAGCAAGAACTCGGCCGACCGAGTCACGAGCGATTCTATGTACGAGTTAGATCCACTTAGCAAGAACTCGGCCGACCGAGTCACGAGCGATTCTATGTACGAGTTAGCTCCCCCGGCCACTATAGGGAGCCTGTCTTTGGCGGTTATGGAAGCGATGACTTGAGACGCAAGGCAGCTGAAATCGGTGGACGTGAAGTTGGCGTTAGGGTCTATTATTCCCAACAAGTGGTGAGGTATTCCACGACATTCTTGAGGAGTGACTTTGTTTGTGACGACGTCAAGGCCTTTGTGGACTTGAATCTTGTCGGAATTTATGATCTCCGCCGGAAAACGAGTGGCGAGGTCGATGGCGAGGCGGGATTTTCCGGTTCCGGTGGCTCCCATGACGAAAACGACTTTGTCTTTGGGTCGGAGAAATTGTATGTCGACGCCAAGTTTGCGCTTGAAGCTCAAGATTGGTTGAACTTGCTTGAGAGAAGAGAGAGAGAATTTCATGTTGATGGTTAATTTGTACCGGTGATTATTGATATCTCTTCAAGAGATGAAGGCGATCGAAGACGCGCAAGGAAAATATCTTCTTGGACCACAAATCGCTATATATATATATATATATATATATATATATGCGGCGACTCGTTAATTTGTCCGAAAACTTGGTTTCTCTTGTGATGTTTTGTCCGACCTGAAAGATTGAAAGATGTCTCTATATAAAGAGAAAGAAGAGAGAGAGAGAGAGAGAGAGAGAGAGAGAGAGAGAGAGAGAGAGAGAGAGAGAGGGGGGGGGTTGGGAATGAAGTGAATGAGCCGAGAGAAATGCTTTGAGGTTTTTTAGGTATACGGACCTATATATATATACACACTTCAAGCATGCACACACACGTATGCATAATGTATATAGATGTGTGAGACTGTGTAAGAAAATGATGGGTGTGTATATATCATAAAATACTAGGCACTTGTACGCGAACATTATTGAGTTTTTGTCCTTATTATATTATCATCAGCAGTAGACTATGTAAATTCCTATTTTGAACATATAGTTGCACCACTTTAGTATTAGATATTGATTACCTTAATTTAAATTTTAATATTTTTTATTTTGACTTTTCATTTTATAAAATGTTCAATATCTTTTTTTAATGAAAACATATTCAGCGTCTTGTGCCCATAAAAAGTTAAGGGCTTTGTGCTTTAAATTGACTTAAATATATATATGGTGATATTATTATTGTAAATTGTACGGGTAAATTATAGGGAAATACCAAAACAATATCTGAACTTCTCAATTTTCACAAAATAAAACCTAAATTTTGTTTTTTTATCAAATAAAACTTCAACTTTATTTTTCAGTAAAAAATAAACCCGAACTTTATAATCTTTGTTATTTTTAACCCTATTATTGACGTGACGTTTCGACATCTTACATGACAAGTCAACATTTTGACCGTATTTGACACATCATCATCCACATATCACGATATCGAAACGTCATATAAACAATATGGTTAAAAATGATAAAGATTATAAAATTCAAGTTTATTTGTAATTGAAAAATGAAATTGAGGTTTTATTTGATAAAAAAGTTTAGATTTTATTTTGTGAAAATTGAGAAGGTAAGAAATTGTTTTGGGATTTTCCCTAAATGATACGAAACCGTGTTTGTAACCAGTTCAAAATAAAATTTTTTCGAGTATGGAATATAAATATATACATATTTGGTCCGTTTACTTTTTTTGCATGGCGTCTCGTCCATTGGGGGGATGGGTACGTAAATACACACACATAAGTGGCGTACGTAGACACCCATCCAAACATTGTGTATGGGTATCCCGTATCCATGTGTATACTGCGGACAGACGGACATTGCATATACATCTCGGTACATGCAATACATGTGTTCATAGAATATTCATATATACAAAAGAGTTGTGGTCTAATGATCTAAGTAATTACTTCAATAATATTTTGGATTCGATTTATAACTCCAGGTATTTGTTTAACGATGAGATGCATAGAAAAAAAATTCTAAAATAAAAGGGTGTAAATGTAAAAAAAAAATCATAAGAAAAGACAATTTCAGAAATTAATCCCCCTTTTCGATTTTGGTAAAAAAAAAAACTTAAAACATTCCGTTTAATAATTACGAACTTCAGACAATACCAAGGTGATCATCTTAATTACAAACATAATAGAGGAAGGATCATGTGTATATATGCATTCCCGACGTCATATTTCGGAGGGCTTACGTCATATATCCGACACAGCTGTTCGTGGGACACACTCCTTTGAATAACAAGATAAATAGGAGTGACATACACATACACATATTCTTTTGAGAGCTGTATACATGGTATACAACTATACATTAATAAAATATTCAATTTTTTTTATTTTTTCATAACACGTATTGGAAATTTAAAGGAGAGAAATACTGGTTAAAAAAAAAATTCAAAGAACAAATATTTTTTACCGCACACTTGTCATATATTTATTTTTGAATTCTATGTATTTTCTGTTTGTGTGTGTGTGTATATATATATAGGTGTTTCCCCATCATAAATTACAAAGTATCCTTTCAATAAATAATTAAAAAACTTCATTTTTTTTGTTGCTGAAAAATAATAGCCCAGAGAATCTGAATTTATTGGATAAAATAATTTATAATATTATTTTTCAAGTTAATTATTAAATTTAATTATAATATTATAGTTAATTGCGTATTGTATGTTAAATATAAAAAGTAATCTCTTCTGAGTAGTCAACTCACAGGCAGAAATTGTCACTTTAAATTAGGATTCGCTTAGGTTTTAGTGGTGTTCAAGTTCTAATCTAATCCTAAATTATTCTTTTATTCTATCATTAACAGGAAACAAGCTTGCATGGACTTGTTATTTTCAATAAAAAAATCAGTGGGCACAGAATTTACATTTAGTGGGTTCTCATACCTAATTATTATTTTTAAATTGCAGATTTTATCATAATAATCACACACCATTGCAATATAAAAAAACGTACCCGAACTTTCCCGATGAGTATAAAGTAAACTTGCATTTGTTCTTATATTAAATTTATCAATAATTTGAATCTATGGATTATCAAAAAAAAAAATGAATCTATGACAAAATTTGGGACAATAATATTGAAAATTTAAAATACAAAATAATAAAAAATAGAAGAATTAGATAATGTGTGTGTGCGTGTGTGTATATATATATATATATATATTTATTTCATAAGATTAGAATTCATATATTATTATATGTTTTTTTAATTCTATTAAAATAAAACTATCATTCGGTAATTAATAATAATTGTATATTATTAATTACCGAACAATAGTTTTATTTTAAAATTATTTTTTAAACGAACATATAATAGTAAATTTTATATATTATTATATGTTTATATTATCGTTATAGCATTTACGTCGAATGGAGAATATCTACTGCTTGGGAAATGATACGACATTTTTTAATGGGGGTATAATTTAATATTACTATTTAGCCAAAAACATAACAAAAGATATGGTACTATAGGTTTTTGTTTTGGTTAAAAAAAGATAAGGTACCATAGGTTGCGAATCACACAGCAAAAGTTTCCAGTTTTAGAAATAATTTATTAAAAGTTTGTTGTATATAGATCTTTTTATTTAACTCTCACATATTTTGATTTGAAATCCTTTGATAATTTGTCTGAATTTACAGAATATATTTAAAAAAAATCTGCCAAATATTATTCATAGAAATAAATAACTCATATGTATACATTCTAATTGCAACTTCTCGTGATTTTATTTATTTTATTTTAACGACTACGCCAGAAATAATTGTTAGAAAAAAATCAAATGGATTTGATGAAGAGACGAATCTATTTTTTGCTGGGAAAAATAGTTTTCTTATTATTAAAGAAAAAAAAATCTACATATACAAAATTTGTAACTTATAAATATATTTATCATAAGCTAAATGATAATATTAATATCTTCATATTGTATATCATGATCAGAAACGAACTTCCATTAAGAATGGTTTCGAGGGATTGGATTTATATGTCAAAAGGGAATTTAATTATGATATTATATTGTATTCTATTAAAATTACAAGGCATAGATGGTGGCAGATGTGGTGTGGGGTTTCTCCTAATTAATGATCATTTTCTTAGTTCTCCTCTTCATAGTTTTAAGATTTTAATATCTTTTTTTTTTACTTTCATTCCTCTTAATTAAATTAATTATATATAAGTTTTAATAACAAATTAACATATTATAAGATAGTGCAGTTACGAAAATGATGGGTTCATGCTTTTAAAATCTTCATTTATGTACCACATTGACTAATAACAATGGAACCATTCTATCTTTTTATGTAAAAATCACTAAAATATTTATTGACTTTGAAAAAAATTCAAAAACGAAATCTAGTAAATTCCTTTTGTTGCCATTTAAAACGTAAAGAACATATTTTTTTATGAAATTATATGGAAGATATAACGTTAAATTGAAAACCTCATCAAAATAACTAAATCATAACCGTCTGAACCGATCTGACACTTAAAACAAAATATACCAAACCAAATAATTTCACAATGAACTAAACTAAATTGGTCTAAACCGATTTCACCTATTTTTTTCTTTCTTATTTTAAAACAACCCACAAAATAAAGTTGATGAGATTCCACATCCGAAAAACAAATTTATCCTTCACAAAAAAAAAAATCATTTTTTCATATTTGAAGTAACTGAGAGGTAGGCTTTTAAATAATTGGAGTTTAGAAATATATATTTATATATATATATATATATATATATATAACTTTACTTTTGTATATTTTATTTTTGACTCAGCTCGTAGGAGTAATCATTCCTGATTAGAATCACACGAGCAAATTGCATTTCTAAATCTTTTTTTTTTTTGCATTTTTATTATATAGAGCTTTTGATCAAACTTTATTATGAAATTGATGATGGAGCATAATCATAATTAGCTTGTCCTTTCAAAGGTGTGGTTCCAATTAATTAAGCATCTGTTGCTTAATTAATTATATTCTAATCTTAATCTCATTGTCTGACTTTCGTCAACCTTTTGATTCGTCCCTCTCGAGTTCCAAGTAGCCGCTTCTTTAAATTCCCAGCAGTAGTCTTTATTACAACTTCTTTGGTTATAAGAACGAATCTAATGTGCATGATATTGAAAACCGAAATAATGATTCTTCGATACATGAATTTTCATTTAGATTATTACGGTTATATATATATATATATTTATATATATATATATGATGTATATATCCGTAACATATTACGTATAAAGATTTGGGAAGAAAATTAAAAAATCATGCATGATGATATAGAGAAAATATTTTCCCTGCAACAATTTTTAGAAACCAAAAATAAAAAATAAAAGTATCCGCACTAAAACCCAAAATAACCAGCATTATATTTATTTTTATACATAGAACGAATCTAGAAATATATACGTATATATATATATATATAATAAGGCATAAATGGTCGTATCACACGTGTTACCACATAATCTATGTAATTTACTATTATTTTTTGTCAAATGGAAGAACGATCTTTCCCCTTTTCTTTTAACAATCATTAGCAGCATCATTTTTTAAAGTTATCTTTAACAACCAACTTGAGAGGGGAAAAAAATAATAGAGATCCACTTAATATCATTAGTGTCATTTAATAAAAACTTTAGTCCCACTATATTTCAACTTGAGTTTAAATGCTTTTAGTAGCAGT